ACATAGGTAAAATGCGAGGCGGGGGGAGAGGGGAGTGAAAAAAGAGAGACAGAGAGGGAGGGGGAAAGAGACAGAGACAGAGAGAGGGGGTGAGAGGAGCGATGAGACTGTCTGCTCCCGTAAAGACCGACAGTCCCAGACACCTGACCGGGGCGCCGTGGCTTGGGACCGACTCTCTGGCAGAGTTTTGGTTGGGGCTGCAGGCTTGGCTCAGAGCAGGTGCCCACGTCATTCCAGCCACAGAGCCGCTGGCAGGGCTCAAACTGTCGGCCTTTTGGTTCGCAGGTCAGGACGCAACCAGTGGGTCATCAGGCTTCCTTCCCCAAGGATCCCCGCTTCAAAACTCACCTCTACCCCCAGCACCCAATCAGTGCAAAGCGGGTGGAGGGCAACAGCAGAGACAACAAGAACAACGCCGCTCTCCCAGCAGACCAGGCACATGGTCGGGGACATCCCACCCCTGCAGCCTAGAAGGGGACCTCTGACATGTCCTCTCCTCAAAGGCCATGGTCCTGTCCTCCCACCGACCTGGGTCCTCAGAAAGCCCCCTTGACCCTCACATACGATGAACTCCTAAGAGCTTTGGGCAGCAAAGACCTCTTTGAAGTGTTGACAAGTAAAGCTGTTACTCTGAGGACTAAGCTACCCCTGACCCAAGCCATGCTAGTCTCCGTTGCCTCATGGGCACATGAATGTTGGACACGGATGAAGGAGGACTAAAGAAGAATCGATACACTTGAATTAACATGCTGGTCAGAAAATATCTATCGAACATACCACGGACTGCCGAAAGAGCACACAAATCTGTCCTGTTAGGCATACAGCCAGAGGCTCTGTAGAGAGAGGAGGGTGAGACATCCTCTCACGTTATCAGGAGAGATCAGGCTTCTTGGTCACATAGAGGTCAGCCAAAAAAGAGGAAGACCCTTAATCAGACGGACGCATAGTGACGGCACCAATGGGCTCAAACACACCAGCAACGGTGGGGAAGGTGCAGGACCGGGCGGTGTTTCGGTGGGTTGCACACCGGGCCATTGTGAGTCGGAGCCAACTCGAGGGCGCCTCACAAGAAAAACAACAACACCAACAACCACAGAGGTGCCTGGACACCCATCCTGGCGCTGGTAAAGCTAGGACAATCAGGCCTTGGTGCAAGGACGGTGGTTCTCCGATTTGAGGGTGCTCTGGCCCCAACTAGAGGTGTCGAAAGAGACTGTGGGTGGCCCCCCCACCACCACCACCACCACACACCCATCCTCAGCACCTCTGAACGGTGGCATTGACGAAGGGTGGGCTGCAAAGAGAACAAACAATCTGTCTTAGAAGAGAGACCACCACGGAGTTCATGAGATGGGAAGTTGGCCGAACTCCGGCTCCCTAACATGGGGCACCTTACCCAACTGGTCTGTGGACACTAATTGAGAGAAACTGGCATCAGGGTCCCTGCAGGCGAGGGATGTGGACGGGTTCTGGGGAGAGGGAAGGGCACCGAGGCAGAACCGACATGCTTAAGCAGCGGTTCTCCACCTTCCTCATGCCGTGGCCCTTCCATACAGTTCCTCGTGTTGTGCTGACCCCGCAACCATCACATTATTTTCGTTGCTACTTCATCACTGTCAGTTTGCTACTGTTATGAATCGGGTGACCCTGCCCGGTGAAAGGGTCGTTCGAACCCCCCAAGGGGTCGCAACCCACGGGTAGAGAACCGCGTGCTTAAAGATCACGTGGGAGGGGACAACATCTGTGCTGTCCAGACAGCAACGGAGCAGAGCAGGCGAGGTGGGCTCAGGCATCCGCGTGTCTGAAAAGATCCCGAGGAGCTATGAACACCAGGTTGGCAGCTGGAAACCAGAGCCCCTTCCAAGGGAGGAAGGTGAGGCTTTCTGCTGCGGTGACGAGTTACAGCTTTGCCACACACACACACAGCCCGGAAATGCAAAGGCCAGGCTCCTTCCATACACATGGTAGGCTGGGGGACCGCTGGGTTTCTCTGGGTGTGAGGTGCCAGGTTACTTAAACGCTGACTTAATTTGGGTTTGGTTCATGAACAATAAGCACCGGATCAGGCCCTTTGAGCCGCATTCCCTTGAAGTTCACTCACTGGGGTGTCTGGGCATTGTCTGCTGGCTCACAGCCCCCTCATCCCACACCACCAACTCCCAATATCCCTCCCTGCCACCAAGCCCATGGGCCACCGAGTCCCTATAGGACAGGTCGAACTGTCCCTTTCATGCCCGGCCCTGCTCTGGTCTTCCTCCCCGCACCCATCCTTCCTCCTGCACGCCAGGGCAGCAGGCAGCAGACTCCAGCCCTCCAGACCCCCGAGCAGCCCCACCTACCAGCCAGCGGTGAACTCCACATGGGCGTCAAAGAAGCCAGTAATCTGGCCGGTGGCTGCCTTCCAGCCCTCGATGCGGGCCCGGATCAGGCCCTCCCGCCGCTGGTTTCGCACCACCTTCACCAGCCCGGGGTAGCGCTTGTGGACGTACTCCTCCAGGGGCGCCTTCAGCTCCTCTGCAAATCACAAGACACAGGAAGTCGCCCCTGAGCGGGCCTGGCGTGGCTGGCTTGGCGTCCCCCTGCAGGAGAGCCCCCCAACCTTATAGGCAGGAGAGGGACCCCTGGTGGCCCAAATGGTCAATGGGCTTGGGTGCCAGGATGAAACCCCCCAGAGGTGCTTCTGAAGACAGGCCTGGTGACCTGCTTCCAGAAGGTTGAGGTGTTCGGTGCCCGGCCATCCTATGCCTGGATGACAGAGTGGGTAGCATTCCCTGGGCTGTAGATCAAAAAGTTGGAGGTTCAAACCTACTAGCTGCTGAGC